GGAAGAGTCACCATCCACCTGTGACACACAGGAATATAATTTACTAGAACAGGAAACTTGCCAAAGCCATGCCTGGCCTCCACATGACCACCAGGAAATGATTTTTGACTCTGAGGACTAGCCTCATACCTGAATCAAGAACCCAGACATGTCTCTCCATCCACAGGCAGTGGCATTAATAACACCAGAGCTGCAGAACATCCTTTGCTGCAAAGGTATACACGACAGTTCTAACTCCACAAGGCAAGATTTTACACCCTTTCATTTTATGGCAGGAGAACAAAATATTCTTCAGAGTACAAGATGTGAATGACAGCATAGTCTAGCCAGCCAATTTTTTTTAAGCTGTAAAAATATGAAGGAATGTGACTTCTGTAGTTGCTATGTTAGGGAGCAAAATATTATCTACATACTGTGCATATCCGTCACTCAAATTAGTACCAAACTGCTTCGTCAGTCAGGTATTCATCCCCCTGATACCCTGCCCAGGACTCACACTAGCTTTAATGGCCAGATCACCATAGGGCTGGTTTGCTCCCCAGCAGTAATTCCAACCACAATTCCTCTATGGCCATGACTAGATATTATCGCTTTCATCATCAGCGATCACACAGGACTGTGACCAATGTCTAATTGTTTTAGAAGTGCTCAGCAGGTTGCCCTGCAGCCTGACACTTTGAGGGTTTACCCAAGGAAAACAACTGCCCCAGAACATGTCCTGGCTGTGGTTCTGCAGTCAGATTAATAAATTAGGAAATAAGGACTACTCAAGATTCCAGAACACGTGCCACAATGTCCTTCCATTAGCAACAGAACGAATACATTGACACCATCTTTCAAGGGAACAGCATGTCTTCAGCCTGTAGCCTTGTATCAAAGTAAAGAGAAAGCAAATGAAATGATTCATCCAAGGACAGCAGCAGGAAGGAGTTCTGCTCCTAGCAAGGATACAGACTCTTGCCTCAGCAACACATAGATTTGTGGCATTTTGCATTTGCCATCTAGACACGCAGTACTCAGACCATTTCCTTCTCATTTAGAGAGATTTTTAGTGGGCTTTATGTCAGAAGTGCTCAAGGGATGGTGAGCTTCTTCCCATGGCAGCAGCCTACATATCCTCTTAGCATTAATCTCCTTGTACAGCCAGCTGAAATTCCCTTTTCGCTAAAATGTTAGGAGGTGTAGATCCTAGGAACAGTGGGTTGTGAGGTCTTGTGCCTTTTCACAACCAGCATCTGCTCAGCCACAGACGAGTGCTACAGCCACTCTCATGGGAAGGGACAGTCTGACCACTGAACCAGTTCATCAGTGTCCAATTTTGCATCTGAAGCACTAAGTAGAAGAGGTAAAGTGGAAGTATTTTGGATTTCAGAACTGACACTACAGTGGGTTTCAGTCTCCCTCTAAGCAGCCAGCAGCTCAGTGAATGTCTTCCAAGAACAAACTGAATGGTAGCTGGCATCAGATCCTTGAAAAACTGGCATCCCAGCTCAAAAATCAAACCATCTCCTCTCCCCCTGCTCCCCCCCCCCCCCCCCCCCCCCACCAGTTTTTCATTACAGCCAGACTCTTCTAATGAAGAGACAGATTTTGTTTGTCTGCAGTAATGTAGGTACCACTGATGCAATCCCCATAGGTGTAGATTTTGGGTACTATCAAAATGCCAAGCATTTGTGCTATGTCGGCACCCTCACTGTCCTAGGGCAGAAGTTCCTGCAGGTCTCATTCTGAATTTGCATGCTAGGATGTTCTCAGTGGTTGCACGCTCTTTGTTTCCAAAAACACTGAGCTGACTGAACAAGAAGTGAAAGGAGGATAAGGTACAAATCATACTCATTGATGCTACACTTTATTCCTGGTCACTGCCATCCCTTGATCCCTTTCCATCAGCAGCAAGCCTAGCCTGGGGGTGGAAAGCAGAGGGAGAGACTAAGCTGAGCTGCCAAAATTTAACAATTGGCTTAAGTCTTCTGCCAGAGGTATGGAAGCTCTATCTTTGCTTTCAGATTCCATTTAGATCTCCTCTCAAGCAAATCTTCATAAAAAGATACTGTTTGCAATATGTGCTCTTTCTCTCTCCCTTTCCAGTGTTTTACTGCAGCATCATACTCGCTTTAGGGCTTGCAAGGACCTCCATGGGAAATATTCCAGCACAGACTCCAGTGGAGTCAGTAATCTCAGCAGGGTACAAACAGGACCTGCTTGACGTGTTAGCTCACCAGCAGGATTGTTAATAAGAAAAATTGAACTGATTTTTTCTTTTTTTTTTTTTTTTGGCCACTTCTAAAAATACTTCTGGGAATGCTTTATCTTCCAAAACAACAGCAACAAAAAAATCTATAACCTGCCTAAGATGCATTCCCAGAGGAATCTATTAGTTCTGTGTACAGTAAGTCAGCTTTCTTAATGTACCAGCTCGGCTGTGTTTTGGCATCTGTCAGAGACAGAGTTATTCCTTCACTTAAGGATCACAGAACCATCCTGGAAAAGGAACCCAGAACATGCATTTGCAGTGAATCACTGGGACACATGGGTGTATTTAAAAGCAATGCTTTAAGCATAGTTGAATTTGACCCCCTTGAGAGCAACAGACAACATCTTGGTGCTTCTGCCAAAATGTTCTGCCGTGTCTCCCATCCCACTCATTTTCTCTCTTGAACAGTTAGAGATTGCTGCTTCATGTCTTAAGTAGAGATTCAAGCCACACACATCGGTTTTTGACTTTCAGATTTAGGCATTACAGAAGACACCAGGCACCCATTACTTAGAGAGCACAGGGAAACATTTTACAACTCCTAATTGCCATTTTTAAGCATGTAATTGCCTTTGAAAATGCTAGTCATCAAAGACACACGGAGATTAATGCGTCACAAAATCACAGTGAATTTCCAGATCAGGAGCTTAAGTAGTAGTAGCAAGAGAACATCCTTAACAACCCAGATCTTAAATCTGCCACCACAGAACAGAGAAAGTGAGAAACACAATCCTGGTTCTCAAATAGCACAGCAACTATCTAAACAACACTTATTGCTTCTTTTCCTTCCATTCTGAGGTGTATCTGCTCATCAGATCACAGGGTAAGTGCCATATTATGTTTTGAGGAACATAAGCAGCTGATTCATTGAGACAGTGCAGAGATCAGCAATGCAGAGCGCTGGATTTCTCTCCTCACGCCCAAGTTGACTAAATTGGTCTATTGTCATTTCAATGAATGCTTGATGCTGAGCCTTCTGCATGAGCAAGACCTCGTGCACATACTGAACTTAAGCTCCAAACCTCTTATCCCTTTCTATTTCTGATGTTTCAAGCAGATCAAGCTCCTCAGCTTAACAAAAGCACAGAGATTGTGGTCTGAGATCTGTAGCTTATCCCAACCACTAATACCAACCACCACAGCCTGACTGGTCTCTTCCCCAGATCACCATGTGCACACATACCTGATGCAGAAGCCAAGAACAACCAGCAAATCACCCCAGTGAGTCCTTCCAACACAGAGTCCTCAAACAAACACACCACAAGCAGCTCATCCCCTCAACTCTTCCTAGGCGGGACCATTTTCTTAAATAGTTTTTCAACCTAAATACTCTCAGCTGTACCCAATCCCTCCCCAGATGGCACAGGCTGCCTGGCTCTGAGCACACCCTGGCTTACCCATTTGACAGCCACAGTTCAGCAGTTTGAGTGCACAGGGGAAAGCTGGTCCCTGATGGCCCACGTGTTGCTGTGCAATGAGTCAAGTATCTGGATGGTGAGGTCTTCGAAACAGCCTCGCCTTCTTCTGGTTCTGTGCTAAGTGATGCACAGAGGGTTCCTGGGCAGTTCACAGGGCTCCTGGGCACTGTGTTACTGAAACATCAATCACAGGAAGGCATCCTACTGAGGGAAGCCACAAGCAACTAACGAAGGTGGGACCTTCCTTATCCTGGGGAACTGCTGCCATGCTTCATGTGAACAGAAACCCTTTGCCACTGCTGCACAATGCTTCTGCATTTGCCATGTGCTGGAATCAAATCACTGATGTGTAGTAACTCTTACATAATTACTGCTGCCTGTTCCTCCCTTCTCCCTGCCTTTCAAAGGCAGCTTTGCCAGAGGAGGGGTCACACACCTTCAGTCCTCAGGACCTGCTATGAATTCCCCACCACCAATGACACACATCGACGTAGGGAAGGAGCAGCCCCTTTTGATATAAAGTGCAGCAAACAATTGGTCATGGCCATGAAGAGGAGGGACAGAGTCAGGAGTCCTGTCTCTAGAAACAGCATTACAAAGCCCAAGGCATGAAGCCTAAATTCACATTTTTTGGTCCAGTGTGCAGCTGTGATTCAGGAGGCTTTGGCAATAACCTGTGTGAGTTCCACCAAGCCCAGCTCTGTGCAGCCCTGAAGGTCAAGCAGAGCCGGGCTTCCAGCTCAGTGAAGGCAAGAGAGCTTGTGCTTTGGCTCCTAACAGAGACTACAGGTCAGGGTACATCTGTTGGCATTCAAAGGTCACATCAAGCTTAAAAGTCTTAATGTTTTTTGGAAAAATAAAACAGCACAGGTTCTTTTCTTCTTTACCTTCTGCTTCCTGAGCCTTGACATCATATGTCAACAGTATTTCCCAGGTTTCCTCCACAGCAACAAAAAGGTTAGAAACACACTGGGTTTGAATCAAAGCTGAGTTCCTCACCTGAGTTTACGAGCCAAATCACTAAGAAAAAAAAATGAAGTAACCTCATAAGACTCATGAGAAAAACTTGAGAGCTGGCAACGCTGAAATTCTCTTTATCCCTGTGAAAGTTAATGCTGGCAGTTCTCCTTGTTTTGATGATTTTACACCTGGTTTGGGTTTTGCTTTTTTCCCCCCTTTTTCTACCTATTTAGGGATCCACTGAAGATGAACAGCATATGACTAAAGGCACCTCCTTAATTGAAAGCCAACATCACCACCTGCTGCACTGCCTGGAAAAAACAACCGTAAGTAGCAACACAATCCTTTGGAATCTCACTAAGCTCTGTGCCTGGTCCAGGCTGCTGTGGGAAGGACCTGCACACAGATGCTCTGAGGTGGCACTCAGGGAGATGTACTCAGGAGACCCACAAACTATGCCAGAGGGGGCTGACACTCAAGCTCCCAAGAATATTCTGCAATGGGATAAATGCATTTTATTACATTGTCTTATTTAAAAAAAAAAACAATACTGTGGAAAGGGATAAAGATGTGATTATCTGCTGCTCCACGGTTACCTGCACCAGCACAAAGTCCATAGCAGGTTGCTCAGTCAAGTTCACTTGAATGCAAATAACTTTTCAGCATGGAGTTAGGGAGATCCTATACACAAGGTGTGCGTTAAATTTAATTTCTTCAGTGCTTCTGAAAGAGAACTAAACTGCATTTGTCTTGTGCTGTCAGTCACACGTCATATATACTTGTCGCTTGTGCTAATTAGTAATGAAGAGGAAGAAGCTGCTGTTTGTGACTCCAAACTACAATCTGGTCACCAGTGCCAACAGGCTGGAAAAAATAACCTTTAGCCCTTTATATGCAGAGAGCAGATGAACTCTCTTAATGGGTTTAAAGGTTGCAAATGTCTCTTCTGACTACAAATCTGGTTACAAGAGCAAGTAATTTATCTCAAAGCCAGTCAAGCAGTTCCTATAATGTGACTTTTCTGTTTGCATCATGCAAGGTGTTGGAGTGAGAATTTAATTTTTCATTAAGTGAGTCTGCATGCAGAAGTCTCTTGGAACATTTCAGATATTTATTGGATACATAGGATTTACTTCCAGGTTTATAGAACAGGTTCTGCAGTAAAAGAACACATTATCTATAGCATGATTCGTTCCAGAAAGAATAAAGAGAGGTTCACACTTGAAATATTCATGCCTTTTTCTATCTGCATCCATCATTAAAAGTACTTTTGATTTCTGACTTGCAAGAGCTTTTTTTTAGATAAATCACTTTCACTTCCATAGTTTGGCTTATGCTGGAATAACTTCACTTAGGCTTCAGCGATACACTGGAAGAAGGTGACTGGTTAATTCCAGTGACCTGCTGAGTACAGCTGGTTTATTAAATGATCTATAAAGGTCACCACTCCAAGGACAGTGAACTGATTCTTCCTGTATCAATGACTATTGAATTCATTTTATAAGACTCATCTTGCCTTTATTTCTAGCAATTTTGGATGTTACCTAACGAGCAGATATTTCACAATCTGACTCTTTAGTTTAGAACTTTACGCTTAAAAACTTCGCTGCTATGACCCATATTTCTCAAAGAATATTTTCATTTGGGAACTTGAAGAGATTGGCTGAAACAAACAAAACTGACATCCCTGTCTCCAGGGTCTGCCCTTGTAAGGCCCTGACTTTGTAAAGGTTTGGTGAAGTTCTGATCTCTGCCCAGGGACGGTGACACCTCTGGGAGCTGTAGGAGCTGCTCCATTACTAATGAGCCCATCAGGGTGCTGGAAGTAACATGGCCAAAGCACACCCTAATTTGTAGCACCCTAACAAAGCTGGACTGCCTCCAGCACACAAGCCTCCTCAGGCAGTGAGTCTCAGTGGTTGAGAATGTTCCAAACGTTGCTTTTTTCAGCAGAGAATGGCAATAACAGTGACACCTGGAATGTTGATTAAAACCTAGAGGGAGAATCTGCACAATATTGAATGTGTTTTTTCCCCACATTTTTCAGCCAATTATTATCATGATGTTGCATCAAATCACGTAGCAAGTTTGGATTCTGGTCTGAAATTATCAATCAAAATAGTCCAATCAGCTTGTGTTCAATCCTATGGTTCACATAATTATTAAAATATTATGCAGTAGTTTTAAAAATTTAATTTGTAGTAAAAGAATTTTTAAACACTGAAGAGTCATTTTGTGACCAAGTTGCAGGAATGGAATGAGGAATGTACCATGGTTGCAAACACGTTTCAATGGGCAATTAACCTTTCCTTAAGCTGCACAGAACGATTCTAAAAGTACATTATTTACTGTCATGGTATCTGCCTTGTCACCAGCATTCAGCCTTACAATTAATTGAGTGGCTATGAATGGCTCACAAATCGGGTGTGTCAGATGACAAAGTGACCCTAAAGCATTTCTAGCTGCTGTAACAGAGGTTACTTTGTCATTTTAACACAACAGATGGTGTTGGTTCAAACAAAAGGAATTTTTTTTCCACTTGTTCCAACTCCCAGATTGAGTATGGACATTCATGTGCCATGTTTTCTCCAAATGCTGAGTGCATCGAATCCAGTCCTTCAACCCAAACCTTCCTTCTGTGTTTCCAGATCAAACCCCACACCCTTTGGTGACCCAATAGCAATACAATTCCAATTCCTTACATGTGAACCAGCAGCTGAAACTTTGTTTTCCTTGGTCTTTGGCTCTCAAAAGATCAAAGTTAGAAAGTTGTTACTGGTTTTGTTCTATTTTGAAGATCACAACATTAAAAAGCTTAAGTGTGAGAAGGAAGGAGCACTGGGGTCTGATTCAGGCAAGGTTTGGTAAAGAGAAGGTCCGGTTGCCCATTCAAACTCGAGCGAGCCGGCTGGAATGCTGAGGCAATAGATGCAACGCTGGGACTAAACTTCTGAATGCCGGAATGGACAATCAATTGTGTTTTTATCTTTTGTTGGCATGTTGTCCCGTAGGGATTGTCCTATCTTGTGGATGATCCCCTGTTATCTGTACGAACTTCCACCATCAAGGTATTTCCTTTTTAATTCAATCTGTTTTCTCTATGGTCTCTGTGACGTGTCTGGAGAGTGTTTGCTTCCTTTCTTGTTCCTGGTCTTGTTGTGGGGAGTTTGTGCACGTGGCTGTTTTTGGCTATCCAGTGCTCTTGTTTCCTGTGAGAGTTGTTAGTCATTCCAATGAAAACCGATGGCTGCCTTCAGCATGGTTGCTTTTGTTTCCCATCCTTTCTGATGCTGACAGAGACTTGGAAGTTCATAGATGCACATAAGAGTTCTTTCTTTCAGGATTTCTTGTTCCTTAGCACAAAAACTCTTTATAGATTCAGCTTCCTGAATTTCCTTCCTTATGCACTTCCCACTCTCACCCACCACGTTTATTTCCACTCAGTTAATAGCACCTGATGAACGGCAGGGATGCTTTGCACCCAACAATACAAGCACCCCCCTGCAGTTAAGCTGCCTGTCAAGCTGGTCATCCAAATGCAATACAATCCTGTCCCCAAGGACAAAGCAAAAGGAGCCTAAATCTCCTCCTGGGTTTCATAACCATGTGGCATTGCAGTTTTTCTGAAGCTGCTTCTGGAATCCAGACAAAAAAATGAAAATAAATTAGAGCACAATATATTGACCAGCTCAGACCACGTAAGCCAGGCAGCACTGACAGACTGCCACGCTTTTGTCACTGTGCCAGCTTCCCTTATTCCCCTACTGATGCAGGCCAGCAACATCTTCTCTTGGTTGCAGGGAGTGAAAGGGCAGAGTCATTTCTTTAAAAGATCTGCCTAGTGCAAATATTTTCAGGCCCAGAAGCAGAGAGGATCTTACACAGACAAGGGGCTGGCACATCCCACCAACCTAGCAAAAGGTGCTGTTGAAAACAAACTCCTTTGGGGCCAAAGCTGTTGGTGTCACCAGAGAGTAACGGCACAATTCTTTTCCCTGCCAGAACCACGAGTTCATAGATGAGCAACTGTTCGAGCAGAACTGCATGGAGAGCTCAATGCAAAACTATCCTTCTTCTCGGAGCCCTTCCTTGTCGAGCCACCATGGACTGACCACCTCCTGCTGTTCTCGCCGGAACAAGAAGACCACTCACCTTCCCAACTCCAGTGTGCCAGCCACTCGCCTCCGGAGCATGCAGGAGCTCAGCACCATCCACATCCAGTGCAGTGAGCAGCCCTCACTCACAACAAGGTACAGTAAGTAGGTTCTTGCTGGCAACTACTGCATGCAAACCTCTGTGTGTGTGTGATCCAACAGAATGTTCTTGCAGGTCTGTTCTCCAGTCAGGGAGAGGGGTCTAGTGCTGGGAGCATCTTTGTTTCCCTCCTTCTAATGACAACCCAAGAAAAGTGGCTCCTACCTGTTCTGGGAAGAGCCAGGTCAGAGCTAGACTCTAGTGTAGTTCTTCTCTGGTCAGACTGGACATAGAAGAACAAATTCCAGCTGAAACCTGCCTATGAAGTGCTAATCACACAGGCAGGAGCCAGCAGTTCCCAGCTGTGAGCCACTCACCGAAACTGGCGAAGGATCACTCCACAGCCCACCTCCCAGACAGCCCAGCACTTCCCAGCCTTTACTGGGAGCAGGCAAAGACAACTGGCTAATCAGTGTCTGTCAGCAAAAGCTGCTGGAGAGCTGCACACACTGACATAGTCCACCACAGACACTCACCTCACTGATTTTCCTCCTCCAAAAGGCTGAATCCCAACTGTAAGCATCAAGCATCACTGGGAAACAAATCAGGAGGGATTTCATGGTGGTGTCTTGGTACCTCTCACCTAAAAAGCAGCACAGGTGAGGAAGTGTCTTTTAATAGAAAATGTTGAAATTTTCATTTTATACATAACTTACTGAAAAAATAATTTCTTCACCGTATCTTTCTTGCAAATATTAAATTCCTTTCTAAATCCCCCTCAGCCCATTAAGCTTCTTGTGCATCGGGCTGGTTTTGCACTTACCATTCTTCTCCCCACTCCTATCAAAGGGACCTAGAAGCTGAAACAGAGCTGCCTTTAGGGCAGCAAGAGATTACTTTGTGCAAGGGTGAAGTCAGAAGGGTTTCAGAGAATGAATTATGAATGAATAAGCACAAAACACATCTCTGGCTATTGCAGTTTCAAGATGACAACAGTTAAAACCAGCACCTGAAATGGTAATTCAGGGGAATGTCAACTATTCTGCCTCTTTCAGTGGGTGCTAAATCAGATGCCAGTGACATTTCAAATGTCAACACTGGTTTTTATTGCTTACCAAACTATGGAGGAATAGAGAGAGAGAAAAAAGCTTTTCAAGTTGTTTTTTGTGTGGAATGCAACTAACTGGGTGTACTGGTTACCACTGGCAGAACCACCCAGTCCCTAAGACTGCCCCACTCTCAGCTTGTGACTGAGCAGAAGGGGTTCTGCCATGTTCTTGGGATGCTTGAGAGATCAAGAAACATCCTCTTGGTGAGTCACTGCGAGATAACAACAGCAATAGCTTTCCAACTGGGAGCTTTACGTTTTGAAAGGCCAGACCTTGTGTTTCAAATGAACACGTTGGGCTGGTAATAGCAGCCTCCTGGAGCTGTGCAGATGCGCAGAAATCAACCCATCATTTTCCCCTCTGTAATTAATTATAGGATGCAATTGATGCAGATCTAATAAGAATGCTCCCAGCTGCCAGATCCTGGAGACTACTGCAGAGAGATGAAAAAAATTAGAAAAGATCAAGGGACAGTGAATGTGAAAAAGGCATTTGAAATTCAAGGAAGACAGCATCTCTGTCTCAGAAAGAACTACCTGGGCTGTGAGAAGATGCAGTACACAGGGCAGTATATTTAGATGCCCTCTTAATTAAACTAGAATTACGTAAGAATGAAGTGGAAAGATAGAACGATAGGCCCTGTAAAAAGCTCTATCCTAACCAGGGGGAATGTTAAAAGAAAAAAAAAAAAAAAAAGCAAGCTTAATCTGGGTAGAAATAAATGATGCCTTGAAGGAACTGGGGGGAACATTTAAGTGGAGCCTTCTGAATATTTCAGTGCCCTTCGTTCAGAGGAATAAGATACTGATTAAGCACAACTACCATTCCCATCCTTTCTACTGCCTGGTTGTTGTTTTCTTAAAAAAAAAAAAAAAAAAAAAAAAAAAAAAAAAAAAAAGCCAAGCACTAAATTTGTTTTCTAGTCGTTCCAGTCTCAACATGAAATCAGATGATGGGCTGAGACCGAACTGCAAAACTGCCCAGATCACGACAGCCATCATCAGCATCCCCACGCCGCCGGCGCTGACGCCAGAAGGTGAGAGCCGACCTCCGCCCAGCAGCCCCGGCCACTCCACGAACATTTCCACCACCACCACAAGCAACATAGTCAAGGTCTCTGCCTTGTAAGACGTCTCATGCACAGAAGGAGGCTGGAAGACCAGTGCCCCTCTCCCTCCACACCTCCACGCTCCTTTCTTGGTGCAAATTGTGCCTGGATGGACCAACCTGATGTTTTGTCATCGAATTAGCAACGGAGACCTAACGAGGCAGCTTTCTTCAGACTCCAGTTCATGCTGTGGCCTGAGGAAGGATTAGGAAAGGGAGGAAGAGGCTGGTTAAAGAAAATGAAACTGCGTGGAGAGCATGTTGTGCCATGGTACAGGGCAAAAATCACCTGTGGAGGCTGGAGGGAAGGAATCATCGTGGCAACAAGAGAGTCAATAAAGAAAACAGAAACATAACACTGTGTATCGCAGCACCTTTTTAAAGGTTTTTAATGGATAATATTTATTCATGAGGAAATGACTGAAAAGGTGAAAAACAATGGATTTTGTGAATTTTTTTTTCTTCATGGAGCAGAACCTTTAAACCAACCAAAATTTCACTTTTTTTTTTTTTTTCTTTCTTTCTTTTATAGGAAAAGATTTAGACAAAGAAGCCACCTGTCACAGAAACCTATTTCCATTCCTCTGTGTGTGTGTGTGTGCGCGTGCGAGTGTGCAGCAGAACCACATCAGAGCACCACTGAGTTACAAAGAGCAGAGCACAGCTCCATGAATGGGTGCACAGTAGGAAAATACAAGCATGTGTCAGCACACGCCTGTGCACACACACACACACACACAAACTATTCCACCCTGGATGGCATTCTTTATTTAGACAATTTTGTATCCGCCTTTTAAGTCAATACAGTGCAATTGCAAACAGTGTGTTTGTCTGCTAATTATTGTCTGTGAAAACATATTTGTGGAAAAAAAAAAAAAAGGACAAAAAAAGAAAAAAAAGACAGGCTTTAGTAGAATTTTAGTCCCACATGGGTATCTGCTTTCTATTTTTGTTATCACTTACTTGTAAGAGTGTGACTAGACTACCAGTTCTGTATTTTTAAAAAGGAAAACAAAAAAAAGGTAGGACTCTTTTAATACTGTACACACAAATGGCAAAGAATGAGAAAGCACTGAACTCAACTGCATCAAGCGTTCATAAGTCTAACAGAGGTTTCTTGTAATGTATGCCCATGCTTTTTTATTTCTGTTTTCTATATCTAAATTTTTTTGCTAGCACTGGACACACAACCCATTGTAAATAGTAGCCAAATAATGTCTGGATCTATACTTGATAATAATTAACCCCAGAGCCAAATATCTTGCATGGACAGAGAGGTATTTGGCTTTTTCACAGTCTTAGGGCTCCAGTTGTCTCATCAATGGCTTCTGGGCTGCACTGATTTTGGGGGTAGTCTAGGTTAGCGATTTTAGTTCTCCAGTCCTAGCCCAGGGTCTGCAGCAGGAACCCACTTGAGAAGGGGAAGCAGTACTGGAGTTTGGAAAACATCTGACTGTGTGTGGTACAGACAGCATTTTCTTTTTGCAGTCCTGCACTTAGTTTGGGAAAAGTTCCACATTTATAGTCAACCAAAAACTGAAGTAACACTGTGTGCTACTGCCAAGAAGCTCAAACTTCTAACTAAGCGGTGGTCAGTCCTACCACCTCTTTCAGAGCTCTTCCTAGGAGTGATTTATTGTAAGGAAATACATTGCCCTGAAACATAACTTATTTTTCCCCCTATAACAACAGTAACTTTTTTCTGCCCTTCTGCCTTTCTCAAGCCCCAATTTCCTAAGAGCTGTGGCCCACAAAGGGCAGAGTGAGGAACAAAGTCACCCACCTTCTCACTTGTCATCCACTGTCTGGCTAATTATTGTAGTGACGCACAAACGCCCACAAATGGTGATGCACCCAGCCCCCGACAGCTTGTAGATAATAAGGAAACATTCCTGACCAGTGATTTTACCAACAATAGTTAAAAACTACTCAAAGCATGTTTGAGGCTCATTCAAAGGCATGACTTTGCTTTAACACCCGGCACAAGGTATGCTGATGTAATACTGATATCCACATATACACACATACACCTATAAATAAATACACACAGGCATTTAGAGATAAATAGATCTACTTAAGACACAGGAGCTAGCAACCCGCTCTGTTAGTGCTCCAGCCTAGGGCAGGCTCAGATGGCTGATGCATTAACACAACAGCCTCCTCAGAAAGCCCCAGCGCTCTGGGAATAGCAGGGCTATGGCCAAGCTGCACCAGCTTATACTCATTTATTCCAGTGCTGTAACGTTACCCAGAGCTATGTTTAGTCCTGTTTTTAAATGATTAAAATGCTCTGCCTTCGCTGCTTCCTCTCAGAGGTTATACTGCAGTTAATCTTACCATTAGTGAGTTTTTCTTCATGTTTTAATTTAATCTCTCCTTCGCTTTAATTTCATTATTTGCCATCATCTGCTCCCCACCTGAACACCTTCACCCTCATAGATCACAGGCCTTGCTCTCCACCACTTAACACCTTGCAACCTCATTTACACCGGCACAGAACGAGGGTTAAATGCTGCTCTGCTGACAGGGTTCAGTGTTCCAGGAGTCAAGGATTACAAAGAGTCAGGGACTGACAGGGATTCTCGGTGCTGCCTTTCTTATTCCTGATTTACTGTGGAGTGGTAAACAAACCACTTCATCTCTCCACACCCATGTCTTTCTCTGTAAATAGCAATCAGGGCAGCATTTGTCTAAGTCGCTATTGGTACATTTAATTCCTATAAATCAAAATGCTTCTTGGAAAAAAAAAAAATAAACATTTTTAAGAGGAAGAAAAAAAATTTTAAAAAGGAGGAAAGCCAGTCCTTGGGGTTTCTGGCTGGCTGCTTGGGCTCAGATTGTCAAGGCAGCCACGGCCTTTGTTCTCTTCCATGGAAGAGGAATCATTATTATCCTTGCTCAAAATTACGTGGCTTCCCTCTTCTACCATTAACTTAGCAGGTGCTGCCCCATGCAGCCAGTACCTCAGCACAGACTTTCAGAGGAGAAAAACAGACAAAAATTAAGGAAGTCTGAGCCTAGAGGAACAGGGCTAAAAATATTTTTAATGGAGACATCAGCTCCCTTTATACACTGATTTGAAGTAGACTGAGTAATGCTTCCAAAAGCACTTGAAAATATGCTTGTAGAAAACCTCCCTGGATTGCCCAACATAGCTACATCCTCATTAGGAGAGCACTGTGCATTCATGGAAACAGCAAAGACAAGAACCCATCCCCATCGAAGCAGCAGGGTACAACACAGCATCCTTCAGAGGAAACACCCCGAAGAGCACAGGTACTGACTGCACTACAGACACCGACTCCTACAATACAGGGAGGCAATTAGCTTTACTGAACTGCAAAGCTCTTGATAATCTTGAAATAGCAATTTATAAATGATTGCTGAGATAAGGCCAAGTCAATTCCTAGGTCAGAACTGAAGGTTGTGGCCCATCCTCTCCAGCGGTCCCCAGTACTGCCCTGTCTTACCAGCATCCCTCTGCCTTCATGCCCAGGGCCACACACACACACACACACACTGATATGGACACAGAAACCAGCACATAACCCCGCAACCCTGGTCGTTCCTCACGCAGATGGAAGGGGGTTTCTTCAGGTGTGGGCTGTCTCCAGGAGGAGAAGCATCCAGAAATATTGGCAGGTTCCAATCCTGATCCCTTTCTCAAAGGCAAGTGGTACAAACCAGCCCAATTAGCACGACTGCTCAACAAAGTGTCAGTAGTATGTTAGCAGCTCATTTCAAAAGCCTCCTCCCTCCCCCCTAATTCCTTACAATTTTTTATAGTTTTAGAAAAGTTCATTTAAAAAAGATAAAAACTGATTGTTTGTACAAAAAGCAAGTAGAAGGGGATTGTTTTTTCAGCCTTTCATAAAGCAATATTAAAACTATCAAAGGAACAACCACCTTTTTCCAAGCATTTTGCTTCCTTTCCAAAGCCTTTTCTGAGGGAAAAATATTTTTCACAGATTTTCAGCGTATTCTATGAATAGATTTACTCTCTTCTCACCTGGCATTGGGCTACTAATAGAAGGAATCACACCCAATTGGCAAAGAATGATGAGAAATACCTTTCACAACCAGGCTTTGACTTCCACCTACTCTTTCTAAAATCCACCTTTTGCTTTTCCTTAAAAATCTTAAGGGCACCCATAAAGAAGAGGCCACAGATAACCACATCTTGGTCCATAAAAATTAAAGAATTTAAAAGTCATGCACCCTCTGCTAGCACAAGACCCTTCACTGCAATACACTGCACTGCTTCCTCCAGATAAGATTTAAAATTCTCTAAGGGAAGGACTCCCACCGCTTCCCTGGAGATCTTATTCCAGACTAACACATCTCAATATCAAGGATTTTTCCCCTGCTGTTCACCCATTAATTCTTTCCTTATTTTTTAACTTCTCTTGCTGCCATTATATTCCCTCTCACCATGTTAAATTACTCTCCTTTCCACACTGCAAGTTAGCTGCCTACAAACAGAAGAGGAATGTAAAACCTTCTACAGCAAATTGTTAGCCCAGAGACTACTTTTAACTGTCAAATAATTATCACTGTTAAAAGTGAACTGGGGAAAAGAACCTAACACATATGGCTTTAGTATGGAAGAAAGTTAATAGCCAATTCAAAATACAGTTGCCAGAAATACTAAATTTGAATCAGTGCTACTTGTTTAACCTGAAACAGTTGATAACACACTAGTACTGCAAACCATCATTTATCACTCTGGTTTATACAGCTAAAGGGGTGCACATGAAAATCAGATTAATAGCAGCTAAAGCAATATTTCTTCAGATATTTGGGGTTTTGAAGTATGGAGGCTGTAAACATATTGTATCTTACATGTGTTACAGAGCAAATGCAGTGTATTAAAAACCACGTTTAATTTATGGGTTGCAAACATCCCTTGGACCCTGGGATATTTTTTCCTGTGTCGGACTATGGCAGAGTTACAAAGTCAGCACTCATGGATGACTCGCAAACATGAGCAGCTTTGAACTGAAGACTTCATTCTGCTTTTAAAATCAGGTGAATTTTAAAATCTAAAAAAAAAAAAATTAAAAGGTGAATAATACACCTTTTCTGCATAATTTACCAATCAAACATATCTTAATTGATTTTTTTTTTAAATCACTTCTTTTTCTCCAACACTTTAAGCAACGCTAGATATATGACTTCTGAGCTCAAGCTTTTAGTCTTCACATTTAATGATGCCATAAACACTCTTTGTAATGATTTCATCTTTCTAAAACTTGAAAAGCAAACAGAAGGCAGTGTGCACATTGATTAGACCCAGGAGAGTCAGCATCAGGAACCGATGTTCTACTCCCAGTTGTCTTGATGAATCACTAAGTGACCTCGAAGAAGTCATTTCACCTCTCTTTGCCAATTCTACAAGCCGTATAGGATTTAATACCTCCTCTTTCAATAAGTGAAGCTCAATTCATGAACACCTACAAAATATCAGAGAACTCTTGAGAAAGTGTGCCAGAGTGCGGCTACTTACATTCAGAATGCAAAAACCGTGCCAGAAAAACTTCAGGTGGATCAGTAAAAAAAAACAAACAAACAAACAAATAAAAACCAACCCAGGTGACAAAGAGCTTGTGAAAATCCCTCCCTGAGTTTTGTTCTCAGTCAACAGGCCGTTACTCTGTGTGTATATGTGTGCACGTGTTTCTTTTCACTTTGATTTGAAGTAGCACTAGTCACAGCAGTCACACAGCTGTCTGGGTGAGAAGTTACCAACCCTACCGAACGCTCTTCTCTGTTCTGTTGCAACTATGACCGGGAGCTCCCACTGGCTCATTGGACCAATGAAATATCTTACAAACTGTGTGTTGATGGTATATTTTTGATAAATCAGTAAGGCATTCCAATGCAATGGTGTTTTCTTTAGGAGTTTTATGTTATGAGAAGCTCTCAACCTTTTCATTTTCTATTTTGGTACTATCAATGGGCTTTGCTTACAAACATCAGAGGACAGATACAAAATGTACTGTATACAACTGCAGGTAGCTTCATTGGAGAACAACTTTCTAGAAGAACCAAGTTTCCTGTTGTCTTCTTTTGGAATTGTAGTGCATATGTTGAAACTTGTATATCATTTACAGTATTGAGTCTTGTGCCACTGCTGTACCTGATGTATCCAATCTGGATTAAACAGAGTATGTGCCACAAATACCAAGATGATGCTGTAGATTTCTTCTAAAAAAACTCTGGGAGGTTCTTTCAGGGAACTTTGGGTGTTGGCCTAAAGCCACTCGAGTTGCATTTAAGTGCTAATAACTCTTACTTAAGCAATCATTCATGAAAACAGCAAGGTGACCATGATGTTATAGGACAGCAATAACAGATACCCAAGTGCATCCCCTACAGTATCCTCCTTTTCAATGTTAAGAGTTGAAACAAAATTCATCTTGGAAATGAAATCATATGATCTTGGCCTTTTCAGACAAAATCTAGGCAAGCTGCCTCCCTGGGGTAATTTGTGACACAAAGGGAGTAAGGCAGGAAAGAAAAGTACAGGAAGAAAAACACTTCTAGTGAGATATAGATGATACTTAAAGAGTAGATCTGACGCCTTTCTTTTAAGAGGCAAACTCCTCCTGGCAATTCCCTTTAGGCCAAAGTCCTGCATTCTACATTGCAGACAGGGGCAGCTTGTTTTAACCACACAACAAGTAGAGCTGATCTCATCTTAACCGCATCAGAAAGTGTCACCTAGAGGCACTATTTAAAGTTTTCAAGAACCTTTAATCAGAAATTAAAATTACTTATGAGGTGACCTCTAACACCTACTGAATTAGAGCAGAACAGCTTCCAGACACTCCTCTCCCTTGCAGTAAAGGCTGACACACAGCAGGGGCCACCACTGCCCCAGCTGCAGGGAAACCACAACCCCACCCACGGCAGGACAGTGCCCTTGCCTGCCCATCTTGTGCTAAATTTCTATGCCACTCATGAGCTAAATCAATCTTACAGTTCTCCTGCACAGCAAAGAGAGTCTCAATTATGTGGTGTCAAGTTCAGACCCACTACGGCACGAAATGGTTGAAAGCTCTGTCAGGGACAGGATTCACACAGGGAGTTTTGTAAGAACATTAGGAAAAAAACATACTGTATTTTCTAAAATTAATTTGAAAGTTGCTGAAAGTGAGCAATCAAGCATCTCTGAAGACATCCATTTCACCAAACTAAAGCAGCAAGTCTCCTTGGAAGCACAGTTCATAGCAGGCAGGAAGCAGTGCTTTTAGAAAGCAAATTCCAGCCTTACTCTGCTCAAGGAAGAAAAAAAAGAAAAAAAACCCAAAAACCAGAACTATATCTGCTCTGGTGAACTTTGAGAAATCAAAGAAACTAGCTGAAGAAGCCTGTCTCTATGATTAGAAACATAAAGCTAGAATATGAAGTTTCAAAATTAACAGAGTTCAGCCTAGAGTCAGCACCCAGCCAGTACTCTCCTCTTTTCCTGATTCAGGACACACACACAAAGCAGTGCAACACAAACAGGAGATATCAATTAGTTTTAGTACTAACAGGTAATTTCATTTCTAATTAAAGCTTTGCTGTAAGTGTAGCAAGTCTGATATTGCTGCACCCAGAGGGACAGATCAATTATGACTGCTGCACATTTTCTACGTAATTAAACCATCCTCACTGCACAGCTTGCCATACACCTACCTATAGAAGTGTTATTTACACAACGTTAATTAACCGGATTTAAATTAGCAATACAGGCATGGAGACACAGGTTTCACTCTGACACTTAACTAGCATACACTAAGTGCCTGGTGTTTAATAAGAGAATTATGGAAAATGGAGTGATCTCCAACTATAAACAGACTACGTGGTCTTACGGTGACTTCATCTTCACCCAAAAGCTCCATGGAAGACTCAAGTCAAGCACACAGAACTGGGGTTGGTTTGTATTTTCTCCTTACTGAGATTTCTAAGTGTCTGCCTTTTACCTTCCTTTGTTTACTCTGGATTGTAAATATTGCAAATGAACATCCAGCTGTCTTTCATTTCCTTTTATTAATGACTTGGTGTTAACACCATCACCAGAACGCACGTAAAAAACATTTCCCTGGACCCAGCTCCCTTATAAAAAAAGACATTTTTCTTCACTCTTAAACAATGTTTTTGTCAATGTACTCGCAGACCAGTTATGTTTTCACAGATAATGTCCATTCATGGTCCCTAACAGCAGGGCCATTACATCAGTCACCACTTTTCAGCAGTTCCTGAAGGTAGACAGAGTTGACGTGGTAGGCGTTCATCCAGCTACACTGTCTGTAACTCCTCCTGTAGTAAGACATGGCAGCGTAGTAGTTCTGCCACGCTTGATAATAAGATTTCCAGTAGTCTTTGTAACTCCAATCCTCATATGGAACACCATCATCCCAAGAGCTGCAGGAACAGCCATCCTCAGTTCTTCTCGTGGGAGGACTCTGGAATTGATGGTAATGGCTTTTCTTTTGTTTAGCATTTTGTTTCAGAACTTTCTTTTTCACTGGACTTTGCTTTGGGATTTGTGATTCTTCCCGAGGCTTCTCTGGTGGAGAACTGAAGCCTGCATGACCCTGATGCATGGTGGGAACAGCATTCTTCTCCTGTGTATCTGAAAACTCTTCAAAGCATGAGTTATTTTCCCTACTATTTGAGGAAGCCCTGGAACTGTACAAACCATCACTGTCACCAGACACAACACCATTTGCTACCATCTCTGTATTATCTTCCATCTCTTTCCACTCTACATGATTATTTCTGGGGAGCTCACGTTGCTTTCCTGGGCCTGAATAGCTTCTTAAAATTTCAACCTCTCTCTCCAACCCTTCTTTAATGAAATACTCGTAGTCTTCAACAAACTCTGAGAAGCTCCATGGATTGTTCTGTTGGTTTTTGAAAGAAGACAAGCATGGAATTCTGGGAAGATTTTTTTTTAAGGCCTCCTCATCTGCTGACCGAGTGTTACGTTGTTCAACCGTTCTGGAGACAGTTTTGACTTGATTCCTCTGTTCTGTGTGGCAACTGGAAGTTTGAGGGTTTCTCTTACCTTTTTCTGTATTTGCAGAATTTGTGCACTTTTTAATCTGCTTTTGCTTCAAAGTCTTTTTTGGCCTTTCTACAGAAGAACTATCAGCTGGAAGATTAGAAAGAGACTGAGGTACCTCTGAAAAACTCTTTCGGACAGGCTGCAGTACTGGTTCCTCTGGTCTGAGACACACGGTGTCAGAATTCACTGAAGCACCTGTATGTGTAACAGGTTTGACTTCTACCTCCCCATCTTCAAACTGATCCATCATTCCAGGGGGTATAGGCTCTACACAAAAGGGAAACAAGCAGGCACTCAATTAAGTGCATCCCTCCCTCTAGAACTCAAATGAGTATCGAAGTAAAGCTTTGCAAACCCAACAGAAAAGATGTTGAGACACGTTCAGTTATGGCTACAAACCAACCCCTTCAATTCTTCAAAGAGCTCAAACAGCCAGAACATTTTCTTCATGGAAAGCATCAAAAAGCTGATCAAGACAAACAGCACTGCACTACTCAGCATCTACTTTTTACATCCTGCTTAACCAGATAAAAAATTAGAACTTAAGCAAGAAAGCAAATGCTACATTTCTAGCAGAACAGCTTCTAGGAAAGCAAGGATAGCAAATCTTCTGTGGTTTCAATTATTCCTTCCTTCTCCTACCATATCTTACTGCCTGAGAAAGGCTTAATATTAGATTTCTGGAAATCCAAGTAGATCTGTAGTTGCTTAAGCAACAGCTGGATGCAGAGTTCTGCTCCCTACACACAGGTGTGCGCCAAGTTCATTCCCTATTGCTTCACACAGCGGCAGCAGGTACACAAGTAGTCATTATCACAGAGTATGAAAAACCTGTACCAAAATTAACACAACTTCAGCAGAGAAGATCCACGTCAGTTCCCTGTGGACTTGTCTGAAGCTTTGAATAAACAGAAAACAACCCACAAAAAAAACACAGCTGCATTCACAGGACAGAGCATACCTGGCAGACGAAGCAGCTGAAGATTACATTTCTGAGCAATTCTCATCATCATGTTTTCCTCCTCTCCACGACAGCAATATGTCACAGATAAGCCTAAAGTCCCTGTGACACACAACAGAGTGTAGTTACCAACCAGGGCCAGTGGAGCCAGCACGAGCTCAAGAAACCCACAGGATGGTTTTACCGAAGCGCCCGGCTCTGCCGATGCGGTGCAGGTACGTCTCCCAGTCTGCAGGGACATCCAGGTTAACAACCAGATTCACTTTTTCAGCATCAATCCCACGAGATGTCTTGAGAAAGTGAGAAGGAGAGAAGGGAACAGGTAACTGAATATCCTGAACAGATCTTGAAATAAACACAGCTGAGAGTAACTGCTCATGTAGTAACTTACACTGTAAAGCACCCACCGTTTTCCAGCCAGTGTGCAGGATTAGGTGTGAAACAGGCAACATTGCACTGGGACCATGAGAATTAGGGATCATTTTTCTTATGCTTCTACATATCAAATACAAGCAAGAGAGCTTTTTTCCTTCAGCATAAAAAAAATTCAACCCAACAGCAATAATCTTCTCATGACAGGAGCTCAAAAACAATCAGCTAAAGAGAAAAATACACCAACCATGAAAAAGTTGAGTGGCTCAAACAGAACCACTGCTCTGTTGCAAGTTGCTTGGGATGTTACTGTTGTGACCATACTGTGCTAGAGAAACAAACTATTCCTTCCCATAGCTCCTATCCAAAGTAAACAACTACTGCTCTGAAATGCCTAGAAGCTTTTGCAAAGCAAATTATTTTGGAGCCAGATGAGGAATAGGGGACAATTTCTAAGTTTCACAGAGAAAACAGCCCACTCAGTGCTCAAGTCACACACTTTATCAATACATTTATATTCTATTCAATTCCAAGTCAAATCTAATCCTCTGAAGTAACTTTATACACAACACTCCTGTAAGCTATAAAACACTAACTCACCAAGTCTGTGGAAATCAGAACTCTGCAGTGGAATTGCTTTAATTTAGCCATAGCATCAAGTCGCTGATTTTGATCCATACTGCCTAAAAAGACAAAAAATTAGAAACAGATGACATTCTTTCAGTGTGATGTCCCTCAAACTCTGGAAAACATTGGAAATGAGATCAGAAATGAGGATGCACTCAGCTGGACATTCATAAAAATTACTCTCAAAACAAATCTGAAAACAGGAAAGTTAATTGATGTAAACATTTTAATTAATATTTAAGTCTTAACCACCTATGAAGATTCAAACACTATTCTTAAGTCATTTAACCAGAGGCCATGCAAATCAAGATTTAAGATTACCTTTCTTATTTTAGGTCACATTTATGCACAACTTCAATAGAATCTGGGAAGTTTTGAATGGACTTACCTGAAATGCACTCGGCAGGAAAGCCTCTGGATGTCAGTATTTCAGCCAGACGTTGGGCCCTGCCAAAACACACACCGTGAGAACTGCAATAAACCTGCAGAGCCAGCAACCCCTGTGTGTTTCTCAGCAGCAGGCTGCTCCTTACAGCCCAGGATTACACTCCAGAACTGCCACTTCCATCTCTATGTCTAGAACAGTCACCTCACAGACTGAAAAGGGCAACAGGATAACGGGTCTCCCTGTACTCTGCACAGGGTAAGAGGCACCTTCATGCTAAAACATTCCTTTCCTCTCAGTATTTCATTCCTCTGGCTGCTTTTCAGATCTGAAATTTCCATACCACTTTGAGACCTCACAGAAGGTCTAGAGAAGTTTATCCACAACTGGACATTACAACCACCAATTTCAAACATGGTCCTTACAGATTTTATTTCTAATTTCTTACCTGCTATGCAAATTTGAGAAGACCAAGGCTTGATTAAAGGGAATCTTGCTGAACAGCTCCTGGAGGTGCTGGGTTTTTTCCTCAAATGTTTTATGTGGAAGCGGATGGGAATTCACAATTTTGTAATATTGCTTCAGCCCTGAGCATGAAACCAAACAAAAAAAAATGATCAGATTAAGGATTTCCATAAAAACAGGCACAGTGCTACGCTGCTGTTCTAGACATAGAGCTAAAGACTCCAGCTAAAACAAAGGCGTTAAGTTTAAACAAGCACACACGTGCCAAGTAAGAACCTACAGGGCAGGTTCTTCTGAAAAGGCTGAAATTCTTTTTAACAGATAGAAAAAACCCAAAGTTACATTCGTCACTGATGTTTTAAATGCATTAACACTGGGAATGAATACCTCAAACTAATCAACTCACCTGTGGAGGGAAATTATGAAGAATCACGAATTTAAAGGTAGATGTTTTGGTTTTAGTAGACTTTTCTTAATCTATTGACAACAACAACACTACAAATGAGCTTCCACTTACCAATGAGACTTGGATCAGTAGGGTTCAGCCTGACAAACGTTGGCTCTCTCATGTACCTGGTCAAAGCATTAGCTAACGAATCAGGATAAGTAGCTGAGACAGCAAGCATCTGTTTATTGGCTGGTAGTGAAGAGTAAATCCAACTGTGAGACAAAGAAATGGGAATGACTAATAAATATACACCTACTCTGTTGATAAAAGCATGAGATTAACGTTTTTCTTACTTGATTTGTTCCTGAAAGCTGCCTTCTTCTAGAAGCTTGTCTGCTTCATCGAGAATGAAAAGCCGGATACTGGCTGTATTCAAGTAGTCCAACTCTATGAGCTGTTTTATTCGACCTCCAGACAAAGAAAAAAGTAAAAGGAATTTCAAAAGTCTTAATGGAAAGGTTCTAAGGATGACGTTTGTAATTTTTTTTTTTATTAATTTAAAAAGGCTTTTAAAAAAAACTCATATTTGGAATAAACCCTCACTAAAAACCCCTCGTCTGAATGTCTCTAGCTCTTGTCTTTGAGACTATCCTCTATTAATAAAAAAAAAATAAATAAATAAAACCCAAAAGCAGCACTTCTTGCACTGTGCAGTATCACAACGAAGCACGTCCGTACCTGGGGAGCCCACTGCTATGTGGCACTTCTTCAGCCTGACTTTGTCCTGGTTCAGGGGAGTCCCTCCAATGAACACGTGGCATTCCAAGCCTTCCATTTTCATCCCAATGGTTGTGATGACAGCGTGAATCTGCACAGCGATCTCCCGCGTCGGAGCCAAGATCAGGATCTGCAACGGCCCAGGATTCAATGTGAAAACTGCAGAGAGGTTTGGAAGGTGAAAACCCGGCGCAGAGTCGGGACGATTTCAAACACTCCGGCTCACACG